CCCCCCCCCCCCACTGGCCACTTCCATGGTGGCCTGTTCCCAGGCAGGAAAAGAATTGCCTGTAAAGTGAATCTGGCTGGCACACCCACCCACCAGCAGCTAGTAGAGAATCCCCATGAAGTCTAAAGTTAAAAATAAAATAAAGAACAATAGAATTTACCAAATGACCTTTAAGTCCATTGTAGAGAAGCAGATTGGAGCCTCTCTTGCTGAGTAGGGACCCATCCACCAATACACCCTGTATGCAGCAGGGGTCTCTTTGTCCACACAAAGACCAGTAAGCAACAGCAGGCAGGGGATTATAGGCATCCCACCCCCTGCCCTGTTCCAGGCTAGCATGAAACTGGAAGCTCTGCTCAATGAAAGAGGAGGTTGAGTGATTCTAAGATGGCTCAATTCAGTTCACTCCCTCCCAGCTATGTATGAGCTATAAGTCCCACATGGGAAGAGCTTTAATTGGGACACAGCAGTGGGCAACCAGAGCCCAAGTGAAATGGGGAATGGGACCCACACACCAGCTGCTGTCATGGCCGATCATTCCCAGGCAGAAAGAGAACCACCTGCAGAGGGAATCTGACTGGCACACCTGCCACCAGCAGCTAGTGGAGAAGCATACTGGCGCCTCTCATGTGGAGCAGAGTAGAGAGTAGGGACCCAGCCACCAGTACACTCTGCTTCCAGCAGGGGTCCCTTTGTACACACAGAGACCAGAAAGCAATGGCAGGTATGGGATTCCAGGCACCCCCTGCCTTCCCTGTTCCAGTCTCAGACAGAGTCAGAAGCTCTGCTCAGTGAAGGAGAGGGATAAGTGATTCCAAGATGAGTCAATTCACTCCCTCCTAGCACAAGAGCTGAAAATTGACTGGATTAGTTTAACAGAGAGAAAGAGAACCTGCAATTAAGGTATCCTGCCACAGGACAGAGCAAACAGCAGAAGTGAATGCTTCTCCCTCTTTCACTGAGTGACAGAATTATAGGGAAGGAAACAAGACCTGTCACAAATGAGGCAAAATCAATGGAGAAGCACAGCCAACTCCCAGAGTCCTAAAGAAACAGTGCCCAAAAAAATAGCCACCAGAGCACAAACAATGGAAATCTCCCAGAATGAATTGCCCTAGATGACAGCCACCGAAATTAGAGATTGGATGGCAAAAATGA